AGTTTTTTGCCGTTTTCATGTAGGCCCTAAGTATTTATTTGCATTTCAACTGTGCGACGGCAAAGCAATCGCTTCAGCAAAATTAAGCACTTAAATTATGCGGACACTGTTCGCATTCGGCAGAAGTAACTATATAAGAAATGTTAATCCCCTTTCTTGAGGCGGAAACTTAAGGATTTAACCCAACGGAAATTGTGCAAAATGCAAATATTTTAAATCCATTTAAAGCTAATCAACAAATCTACTTGAGTAACTGGAGACAACTGGGGTCGTCAAATTACTAAATAAATATTTTTGCAAGCATTTGTATGTTTGCATGTTGGCGCTGCAAAAGGAAATTACCCCGTGAGAAAGGAGTTTGGTATACGAGGTCCTTCAGACCGCCGTCAGCTGTTTGCACTTTCATCCCCAATATCCACAGTTCCCTGCCAAAGAAAGTTAACCAAACGCCACAAAAAGGCTGCCTGACTTCACCTCCTAAACTGTTTTCTTACATTTCAGAGACTAGTTACCATACATTGGAAAAGTTCGCAGAGCCTTACCTGTTGTGAATGCACTTTTGACCCGCAAAATGGTCGGTTAAAAGTTTTAATTGTTAATTTGCGGAAAATTTGGTAATCAAAGGAAATACGGTTTACACTATTCTTATGAGGCATTCATTAGTTAGTTTCGAGTAACTTGAAAACGCATGTTGGTAGGGAAAGCATATGGGGAAATCCCCAGGTTTAGAGCTCCGCATGGGGTTGTTTTTTCCGGCATACTCGCTGATGCAATGGGATTGGATGGCATGGCATGGGTACAACCCCCGAGGAACTCCGCCAGCTCTCTCCAATCGCTACCTGGCCCCTGATTAATTTAGTCTGGGTCTCTCACTTTGTTCTGTTTTCCTTTCTGCCAGGTACCCACAGGGTTTACCATGACATGTGTTCCTCTATAAAGTGGGTGGGTCGGTGGGCGGTGGTTACTGGGCTGGCCATGAAGGTGGTGCATTTCTAAGCGAGTCAAATTGAATGCACCGAAGAAGACCTGTGACATCAGATGTCCATGGCATATGTACAAACACATGAACGTAATTAGAAAAGCACCGGTGTACCATGTACATGGGTTTGTGTATGAAAGCTACCAGGAAGTCCGAAAATATAAAAAGCGTAATTGCTAAAACCAACGGCAAGTCATGGTGTGTTTGTTGCCAACTTTGATGCAAATCTGTTTGGAAATTGCTCTCGAAAAGCAAGCTGGGTTGCTCCCTAGAAAAATGATTGTTAACCCAAGTGGAGTAACTCAGTTCTAAATTTCAATACCTCTAATGCAATGGCAACGACTTTAAACCAGTGCCATTATGTACGGATCCTTGCCTTCAACGCAGGGTTTCTTGGCCAAATCTAATGACAGGCTGAAAAGGAAACCATTCAGCGGTCGAAAGCTGCTGGGGAAATTAAAGATATCTGACGGATTTCCATTGTCGACTTTTCCGCCCTCTGTCTGCCTTGCAATTGACCACTTTTGGGCTTGACAAAGGAGAGACAGGCCAACAAAGGGGAAAAGCCCACAAAGGAAATTCAATTTAATGGATTTTAAATGTTGAGGTTATTCGACCCCTTTAACAAATCCATTGTATCCTGTTTACAAAACAAGGAATTTGTTACCAATTAAAACGTATGAATGCATTTTTGTTTGAACGATCTATGAACTGGACTTGTTGAATTGTATGCACTCACAAAAATATTTTAAGGGGAAAACAAATTACAGAACTAGGATTTCAATTCCACTGCAAAAAAATCAATGGCAAAAACTAAAAGCTCCTGAGCGTGGTACTAAAGAATTGACCTTATACCCTTTTTCACTAGTTAAGGTTATTAAATTACATCCGGTTTCAAAAGAATTTGTTTTATCGATCCACTAAAATCCCACCCGAAACGTTTGTTTACGTATTTATGAATCTGAGAAGTGTTAGCACGCAAGGCTTGAAAATTGAACTGGGATTAAGATATCGTTTGTATACCCCTGTGACCAATTATAAACCTTTTAGAATAACAAGAACACAGTTTTGTGTTACAAAAATTCCGTTTTCATAGCAAAACTTTGTGACAAATGGCCATTTCCTCCTTGTATCGATCTCCCAGACATGTTAGCTCCGCCATCCTTTGCATATTACTCAAATGATAATTCATTAAATACAATTAGATTTATGCCGGAAACGAGATTTACATTTCTCAACAAGATTTTTGTGGTGACACACTCTTGAAAAAAATACAGCAGAGTTCCTTGTTGATTCTAGTTTTTCTTGGAATTGATTATCCCATACCTGTCGGCGGCAGTTTGAAAAAACACCCCGAATGGCTTGCAATTTTCGAAACACCACCGAAAAACGAGAGCGGGGAACAAATCAGACCAGACCCAACCAGACAGACGTTTAAAAGGGATAATATAACTGCAATGAGATCACTTCACTCACCAAACAGACGGATGATATATGCAGTTTCACTATACGATGCTGTTGATTAGTTCACTGAGCATTTAAGTATCTCTACAGAACCGTTTGGCTTAACCGGCAAGCCCAGTAGCTTGGTTTGAAAATCGAAGCCAGACAAAGTCCGCAGCACTCGTTATGGCCATTTGGAGGACCTTTGTTCACTATCGTTCGGCGAATTCAATTTTGACAATTTTCAAGTGACACTTGACGGCGGCGGCACAATCCACGAGATACAATTCCATCCGATAGGAGCGTTTTCCATATGAAGTGTCTACGAGATGCGTCAAAAAACCGGATAGCCCAGCGGAGTAGACTTTCACCCACGAGTAGAGACGGCAGCAAACTGATTGCCACGCGGCTTTGAGCCACCGGCCAGAGCCAAAATAAAGCCACGAGCGCACAGCCGAGCACGAGCCGCCAGGACATGAACCGGATTCGGCACTCCAAGCGGAGTCCTCGTGAAAAAAGCGAGAGGCGCACGCTGACGCTGGTGTGAGGACTGCGCCGAGAGAGAGGGCGAAACCGAGGCGAGAGCGGGCACCAAGGATGCAACGCGTGGTGGTTGATTTCCCACCCGACGAGGGGGTGGCTGAAGTAGTTGGGTGGTGCGGCATTGTCATGTTGTGACGCCGTCTGCTGCTAGTAGTACTATGGCCAGCCGGGCGAAAGGGGGTGGAAAGGCATTTGCCGGCCAGTTGAACTCTTGGCCAGCGTAAACCGAACAATTGGCAGCGAATGAATCCCAAATCCGCATGCCTAAGTCTGTGTGCTGCCTGGATTGATATTGGATTTCGGTTGTAAACTAGGAAACGAACTAGGTAAATGACTAATTATGCACGAAAGTGTGAATATGAACACAGTTTAGGAAATATCAGATAATATTTAGAAGCATAAACATGGAAACCATGCTTTTAAATATTTACACCAACGTGCATCCTGTTCAAATATTTGCAGATATAAAATGCATATAAATAATGATATATAACTAAATATATGACTTCCTAAACAGTTCCAATATGAAAACGAGAAAAAGCGTACCTTTTTTATGAATTACAATTTTTAATGAATGGTGAATAGTGAAGTCATCGCATCGGATTACTTGCAATACCGATCGGCCTTCATTTTACTGCGTCTATCCAGCAGAGTTTCATGCAAAGATCCCTGAGCTTTGGCCTGCTCGAGTTCCTTGACATCGTTCTGATTAATGCGCATCTTCTTGTCTTGGAACTTTTGGAACTTTTTCCTGAAAATTAGAAAGAGTTCGACATTTGAAATGGTCAAAGCGGATTTACACCTTTTTAAATCCTATAAATAAAACTAGTTTTTGAGATGACTGTGGACGGCAGTCCAGTCCACGTAGTGACGAAGCGCACCAGTACATCATCAGCTGAACTTACACATAGTTTTTCTCGACTTCGCCCAAGTCTCCCTTTTCCTCCTTGGGCTCCGTATCAATGACAACATCCCTGCTGGCATTACTCCGCACCTTACAGATCTCATGCTGACCCACCTTCTTTCGCAATGCCACACAGGCATCGTCTTCGGGATCGATAGACATAAAATGACCGGTTTCGGATAAAAGAGCCATTCGTTTTTCCTTTAATTACATTGATTAGTTTTACAGATTCGGGATAGTTGAATATTTGATAGACTTACCTCAAAAACGGGCTCCCACTGCTCCATACCACCCACAGCTTCGGAGCGCCCTGTTACCATTCCATCCTTTTCAATTTTCAAGTACTTGCCATAGCCAGATTTAAAGGCTACCTTTCGGTCGTTGATGGGAAAGGCCGTGAATATCTCCTCGGGATCTGGACCATCGCCAGCGTTGTGGGGCGCTCCCAATGTAAAGAGACTAAAACTCCGGTATAATTAAGGTAGCAATGATCAGATCTTTTCACCTATTACCCATTATCCATGGCCTTCAGGTAACTCCTGTCGCCAAACTCAATAGACACTGTGCCGGTGATGTCGGCTGCCGTCTGTGCTGCCCACCAACCGCCGTGCTCCACTGCGTCCTCGTCCACCACTACCTTGGGCTTCTTGGAAGATCCAGCCTCATCCTTTTCCTTCTTGCGCTTTTTGCTCTTTCTACGAAACAAGAATTTCAATAGATGCTTTTCCCATTTGCAAGAACTCACTTGTGTTTCTCTCCTTTCAGAACCAATTTTTTTATGCGTGCATGGTCGTAGTCTGACATGGCCACAAAAATACAGAATGTTGATATAATTTGGGTTTTCAACACAATAAACAAACATGCGATAAAATATCCCAGATGTGTTGGTCTATCGGATATCGATAGCTTACAAATAAAATACTGTCATTTTAAAAAGTAAAGATTCAAACCATCTTTACTTTGTTCAAACCATTTATTAAATCGTTCAAAAATTTAAAAAACAATTGTTTACAATTATCATTGATCATTTATTTTTCTTCTTATTTTTAGCTAGTAATTTGCAACGACTTGTAGCAATTTAGATATAAATAAGTACTACAATGTCATCACATAAATATATTTATTCTTGTAATTCAAAACATATATTGGCTTACAATAATGAAAAATCACGGCTGCTTGATTTGTTAAACTAAACAAAAAGTGTACATTTCCATCTGGTTTAATAATTTTTCTTACAAATGTGAGATAGATTTTTTTTATAAATTATTATACGTCCTAAATAAATATGTGTAAATAATACGTTTTAAATATGTAAATGGCTTATAGGAAACATCTTATGTTCAAATACTTTGGAAAAAGCGTTGGCCTAGTCGCTTATAAGCTTGTAAACATGAATAAATACGAGTAAGTAAATAGGAATGCACAAATATCGAAATTAAATCCATTACATATATCCTTCGACAGAGACATTTTGCCATTGGCCCTGAAATGTAGAGTGTATTTTGAAAATTACGAATTCAACCAACACAATGTGTAGATAACTTACCGCAATGCCAAGATTCCATCCTACGCCTGCAGGATTTTCATTTGTAATGCCGCAGCGCCTGCAGATGATACCATTGAGGGAGATGGCCCACACCTCGGAGCCCACGGACACCGACCGGAAGCCACAATGCTGATCAGTATGCGGCGGCACATTAGGGGCATTGGGCAGAAACTGCCAGTGGGAGCCCTCAGGGAAAGTCCTCGATATCTCCTTACGCACAGCCAAACGCTGCTGGTTGTCCAGCGCCCAAATCCCCGCCCGACCCACGCTTATCGCTTTAAAGGTCACACCCGCGGGAGCCTCCACTTGTTGCCAGGCATCGCCGCAAGGATTCTGCCTGCTGATTCCATACCGGAAAAACACCATGCCATTGCGCGCCACAGTCCACACTTGACCGGTGGGTCCCACGCTGATCCCGACGAGCGGCTGGTCGCTGGTTATGTGCTCCCAGGCATCGCCACGAGGGTTTAAACTGCATACACCATGTCGGATCAGGACATCACCATTGGAGGCAATGGCCCAGGCAGCCACAGCTGTGTTTCTCTCGCCCGAACAGCTATTATCCGTATCCTCATCCAATACCTAGTAGGAAAGCGTTTAATAATCAACAAAATTTAGAATTCTTTAAGTAGACCCATACCTGCAGGGCAGCATCGAGAATTTTGGACTGACTTAGCTCCTGCCATGGACCGCTGCTACTAAGGCGACACCGCTTCATCCACCTTCGCCGACGCACGCAGTCCGTGAGTTTTTTGTGGGCATGATAGCTGACGGAAAAATCGATGGCGTATTGCCAGCCCTCCTTGTCCGCGCCCCCAGGAATGTTGTAGTCAATGGCCCAATCGGAGATCCATTCGCAGTGCGTGGAAAGGAGCTTAGTGTGCTCCTTGCTCCGCTTCTGCCGCCCAGTAGCATCGCTCCACAAGTGCCGATCCGTAGGCAGACTCTTCGCCGTGAAACCACTGATTGGATTCCAGCGCTGATTCTCATACACATAGTATGTGTGTGTGTCAATCATTGGGTTAATTTTGGCGGAGCCCTCCAAGCCCTTCAGGAACATACCTCCCCAGCCACCGTTGTACACCCAGCCAGTGTTGTCACAGGATATGCCCCACACCACATCCACGCCGGCGTTGAAAATCCTCTTTATGTGACCGCCCATTTGGCGCCAGTGCATACGCTCCATTGAGACAATTAGGGAAGGGCATCGGTAGAGCACGTTGAATAACTTAATGCGGCCGCTCACATAAAGCCGGGTCACGCTCTCCGGATCGATGCGGTACTTGTAGTCGGCATAAACGGCATTGTTCACGATAATCAAGTAGTGATCCTGCAGAGCTCTGTAAGAATATACAAGTTAGGTATTAGGTATTAGGTATTTGATTTCAGTTCTAATTCTCTGTTCCTACCTAATCTTCAACGAAAAAGTTGATCCCGGAGCAAAGGCCATTTTGTCATTGCGAATCTCGTCCAGCCATTCGGACCCCTTCATCGAGTTGAGCACCGTGGTGCGTTCGTTGAAACGGGGATTCAGGTGCAAAGCAATGACCCGATGCTTCTCCACGCGATGATGCTGAACTTTTACTGTAGAATGCGACTGCAAGTCGAAGCGAATCTGGTCAGCGTCATCGTACACACAGCCAGATATCTCAAGCTCAGTACCACACGGCATTCTAAAAACAACGTATACAGAAGAAAAATATTAAACAATTAAAACTTTAGGATTATATCGGAATCGAGCTTCTGGTGAATCGCCTGTTTGGGCCAGATCAATACAACAAATTGAATTTATACGTCACTCAATTTTTTTGTTACATCAACAGTCTAAACTATATATCGTGGCGCATAACTACATGCTTGACAAAATAAACCTATTATAATAGAAACTTCTTCCGACAGGTAAGTTTTTAAGCCCACTTACCCATTGTAAAGAGTATTGTAGTATGGAGTTTCGCATGTGGAAACATCCATCTTCTCCACGTATCCATCACCGGGTTCACTTGTCTGCTGTGCCTTCATGTTGGCGGCATCGAAAACAAAGACATCGCCCAACTCGCTGGTTATCCAGATAGCATTGTCAGCTGGTTTTCCCACCAGAGTGTTGATCTGGCTACAAACTGACGACAGGTGGGACAACCAGTCCTCCATTTCCGAGTCACTGGAGAACTGTAGATTAACGGGCGAGCAGTTCACGGGAAGATGAGGAGCATGAATGGCGATACGGGGTGCGCCTGCTTCACTGCAGCACTGAACACAGGTGATGTCAGACAACGGAAACTGAATCTTTGTGGCTGCTCCATCAGGACTAAGAACCGTAAAAGTGCCAGAGTCACTGGATTGCGAGTTTTCACAGCTATTTGTTCCACAGCCGATGCTCACCCACTCAAGTTCGATGACGCAATCCTCAAACTCGCCCCCAGGTCGCTGATAACGCGCATCCGCCGATTTGACCCACGAAGAAAGCTCGACTGCCTTCTCGAACTTGGCCACAGTCTGCAGCTTGGCAAGTTTTTCCTGCCGCCGCTGCAACTTGCTAAGAATATCCTTCCGCCAATTGGCATTCACATCCACTTTACTGTCGCTCGTCTGCTCGTTAAACCAATTGGGCATGTTGCTGGCATCCACAGTCACAGCACCAGGAGCTACGCAGCTCCATAGTATGCCACATTCTGTCCAAAATTGAGATCCCGTATGGTCGTCATCTTCTCCCAAAAACACATCCGATCCATGGTGCGTGGAGTCCGACTCAAACACGGTCGAATCGCTCTCTGGGTGCGCTTCGGTGCCCACAACGGAGCCAACACTTCGAACGGGAGACCAAGCTCTTGGGTTCCTCAGCTGTGTCTCAAACTTTCCAGTAATCACCTCCACCACATCCGCTGCGGGAGCACTGGAAGCATGTGAAGTTTCGCGAAGCGCCGCCGTTCTCTGCTTGTGGCGATCGTTGAGGTTCAGACTTCCTATAGTCGGAGGTGAATCGGCACTGAGTTTCCAACGCTCGTTCTTAAGTAGACCAGGTGGACCCCCATTACTAGAGCAGGAGCCTGTAGAGCTGTTGAGCACAGTTTCTATAATTGCACAGGTCTCCACCACACCCTTCTCCTTCTCCTTAGAGTACAAATTGGAGAAGCTCTGGTGCTTGGAACCTGGAGTTGAACTACTTCCGCCACTTTTACGAGAGACTATTGATAGAGAGCTAGATGTGCGGCTGATTTGCATTGGACACTGAATTAAACGCCATTTTTTGCCAGTGGGATCGGCCGAGGTCACCCCAGAGCGGTGGTACAAGCAACGGTCAGCGGCCCCAACTGCAAAGACCTACGGGAGAATATGTTTATATCTAGGATACTTGGGTAGGATAAACGCTGGTTTACCTGATCGTTGGCCGCCACAGAAACCATTGAAATGTTTCCCACCATTTCCACCCAGCCCTTACCAATGGCCGAATCCTCGCTTATGCCCGCTGCCTCACCCTTAACGCCTCTCCTAAACCAGGCGTGATGATCATTGGTCACACACCACACTGCATCGGTGCCAACGGAAACATGAACTATGCGCAAACTGCAGGCGGCCACGGGGGTCTTGACATCCAACCACGAGTCCCCGACTAGGTTGTCTCTGGTTACACCAGTGCGTACAATCACACGTCCGTTGTAGAGAACCGCCCAAACCAATCCTGTAGGCCCAACGCTGATCTGCGAGAGTTCACTGCCCGTTGGCGTTGGTACAGCTGTCCAGCGAAGACCCTCGGGCGCCGTTTTGGACACCCCCGTGCGAAACATAGCTCTGCCGTGGGCGGTAATGGCCCAGACACACAAAGTGCCGGCAGGAGCGTTGGGTACACAAGTGCCGCCTATAGCCACGTCTATGAATGGCTCCTGGGTGGGATCCTTGTGCAGTGGTGCCACTGCACACCAACTATTTAAGGCGGCATACCTCCTATATCTCACCCACTTGCGTCGTCGCACATACGAGTTCCATGACTTCTTTGCCGAGTACGTGGCCTGAAAGTCCAAGGCGTACATCCAGCCATCCTCAGGCAGCGGCTGTCCATCGAGCTCTAGGTCCAGGTGCCAGTCGCCGTCCCATTGCCAGGCCATCGAGGGCAGTCGGATTTTGTCCACACCACGCTCCACGCTGCCATCGGCGGAGGAGTATCTGTACCGATCCGTGGGCAGCAGTGTCTTCGAAAAGCCCTCGATGGGCAGCCAGCGCTCGTTCTCGTACGACTCTTCCCGAATCCGAATGGGCACGTCCAGACCGTGTACATGAACGTACACCTGGCGGTCGCCGCCAATAGCCCACAAAAAGTTGGGCACGGCGCAGATCTTCTTGAACTCCAATCCAAGGTAGGGAAGTTCGCGCCACGCTCCAGAGCTGGTGGACAGCGTGTAGACGCGCCCTTCACTGCTGGCGGCGAACAGATAGGAGCTCGGCATCCTAAGATATATTACTAAAGACAAAGAATCCTCTTTCTGTCTGGCATCGTGTTTACAATCAGTTTGGAAAAATTGATTTTTCAGAGGATAGAGCTGTCTATCCAGTGATGGCACAACTGTTTTCTAAGGCCCAAGCGATAGTATCGTTGAGGTTGTTGTTTTCGGACTAAAAAGCTAAACAGCTGATAGAAACATGACTGAATAGAAAGCAAATAATTACATTCAAAGGACGTGCGCGAGCCCTGTAAATTGCATAGTGCGTTAAATTTCGCGAACCAGGATCTATCGAATGCAGAACACCGATAGTCCTTTGCACCGACTATAGTTGAAATTATCGATACTATCGCAAGTAGTTAACTCAGCTCTAATTGACGCCAAGAAATTTTGATTGATTTTGAAAAATATGGTAAAAACCGAGCCGTTTTTTCTGCTAACCGTACGGGCGGGTCCATAAAACCGAGTGCACCCAGCTAAGGATCCCTTTACCGGTCGCAGTTGAAAAGGACAGCCGTGCACTACGCTCTTCGGCGTGGCGACGTTCGACGCAGAAAAGCGAGCACGCGCAGGCCAGACGGTCGGTCTGTCGTATCAGCTGCTGAATGTGGCTCCCGGAGGCCGACCACGGACGAATCCCCCGTATTGCCCATACTCCCCGGTCCGTAGTCCCGGTATTGGGAACCGAAGCGAGTCCGAGGCCCTTCCAGCAGCCGGTATTTGGTGCTCTGGAGTAGTAAAACATATGTACACACGCCTACAGAGTACAAACGTTCATCTGGTAGACACATATATCGACCATATATATACTATAGCCACTATATGTATACCGCGATGTCCTGTGCATTCCGTGAAACCTTTCGCTGCATCCGCGTATTGGGGGTGGTCGGTCTGCCCGAAAAACTCCCCTAAGAATAACGTACCACCAAGTGATTAAGGCTCCATTTTAACCGGATTCTTTCCTACCCCACAGTTAACCACTTCGGAGCTAAAGTGAACTGGTCATATCGGGAAACACTGTGGTAAGTGCATGCCAAACATTTTCTCTAAAAGCGATTCGACTAAGTGTGTGGGCTCCACAGCAAAATTCACATTCGCCGGACGGAACGTACTGACTCTGGAAATCACATCACAATAAGTCATGCCACGGGGAAAACGCCGAGCTGCAGATACTATTAGCGAAAACATGGATCATGGTCAACCGAAGAGGGCCCGAACCAGCTACACCAGCATACCCACACAACAGAGCAGCAGGTGAGTGGAGGAAAATAGGAAAGAAGAACAAAGGCCCTTCGGTGTTGTATCATCTGTTCCGGTGAAAAGCATCTGGTTTCCGGTGTACAGATTCCTAGGCCATTGATGCCTGACAAATTTCAATAGAACGAACAGATTTGAATCCATGTTACTCACACCTGCCACTGAAAAATTTGTTATTCAATTGATAAGGTATCATTTTCCTATTGACATCTTTACGAAGATTTGGTTTTATAATTTATGCCTAACAAAAACAAATGGCAATGGTATTACTATAAAACTAATTTAGCCATGTACAATGCAAATGAATTCACTTGCGAAAGCTGTATAGATAGTTTCAAAGTAATGACTCTATTATTCGCCTTTTTTATAATCAAAATATTTGCTTGTACTAGTTGTAAATATGATATCTTGAAAGGCATTAGGTGCCCATAAAAAGATAAGACTAAACAATATATTATTTAAGTATTTATTTTACACAGTTCCAATTATTTACTCCATCCAACAACGTAATTTAGATGTGTAGAAAAAACACCAATCGATTCCATAGATGCGTCTGGTGCCAATAGGAAAACAGTCCATTAAAATCCCATGTTTTTCAGCAGGCATCAGTATTTATTTCCACTTTAATTAAACTCATTAATACTAATTATAAACAAAAGCATTAGAAGTTCCTATATCTTTTCCCCATACATAACTTCTGGTATTTCAATTGGCAAACTTTTGAATGGATTAAGAGATAATGAATGTTTAATAGGCGGTGCAGGAGATTTTGTTTAACAATGTGTTATTAAAAAAAGATATTCGGAAATAGATGCATCGCTAGAATTGCTGAAATATGAGTTTAAGATTGATGTGACGTCCACGATACCGACTTTGGTCTTTCACTTAGATTCGTTTGCCTGATAAATAATAATTTTTTTGATTAATAATGATATATATTAACATTTAATAATCGTATATGGTGCGTTATTATTTTATACATTAACAATATGGAAGACATTTGCATTTCTCATATATGTATCTTTAGTTGATTTCGATAACCTCGTAAATGTTTATCTCAGTGTCTGCCGGGACAACTCTTAATTTTACAAAATAGGACTACAGGATTGCAATAGATCCAACAAACGTGGGGATATGTGTAGACAACGATATGATCAAATAGTCGAACAAAAACGAACGCTTCACTTAAATCTTGAGTTTGCTCCGCTCACTCCATGGAACCGTACTGAACCTTCTTGATTTTAAAGTACCTGTAACGAATGAACCTTTAAAATGGTCTTTAGGCACTATGGCTCACAATAATCACCTCCAACCGCCGTATCCTGAGATGGTCAGGAGCACGGCAATGGCCAGTGCAGTTCCCACAGCCAAAGGCGCCGTCTCGTCGCGATAGGATCCTGTGGCGCTGCAGTGGAAGGATGGGCCCCACTTGCCGCTGTCCTTGAACATGAAGCTCTGCATGTGCATGTCGCGCAGATACAGCTTGGCTATATGCCCCGAGAGGTCGCCGGAATCGTGCGGGGCGTACATGATCACAGTCTGCTCCTTGTCGCACACGTAGGACTTGCCCACCGGCGTGGGGAAGTACATTGGCGTCTGGGCGGGCGAGGTTAGCCTCACGTCCAAGTTGGGTCGGTCCGGGTGCTCGAACAGCCAGTTGGAGGACGAGTATGTCAGTTCGAACAGGTTGATATACCAACCCTCGCCGCCGGACGACTGTGGGTCAAAGTTCAAACATTATTCAATGGCCAACCTTTATCAACTCTAACCTCAACGTTATTTTTTTCCACCGATGGGAAGTTTCCACCTTGCTACCTAGATAGTTTGCTAGTGTACTTGCTCGGGTAGTTGGCTATAATTCATTCTTAATGCTTGAACTTGCCTAGGCAGCAGGTCGTAATTGTATTGCCTATTTATCTATCATATCTACCATTCTATCGTATTTATTGATTTTTTTGTCAGTTAATTTTGTACGGGCAAGTTACTGCATACGATTTATGTTAGATACAAAATTGCTCTAATCTTTTTGGGCCGAGACTCAGCAAGTGGAACCTTCCCCATCACTGGTTAATGCCCAACCCACGCACCTTTTTAAATGTCATGGACAGCCGGAAACCCTTAAAGTCCATGGTGAGAATTTCCATGTTGGACTCGACACACTCGCCACTCAGCTGTGGATCATCCGGCATGTACAAATCGGCCTCCACATCCTCGTTCAGCTTATTCCGATACTTAATGCTGATAAGTCCGTCCACCTGCATCAGGATGCAGGTGATTCCGTTGGTGGCATTAAAACGATACAGCGAGGCGGTGGCATCGTGGTTCATGGAGGAGGCCTGGAAAAGATTTCCGGATTAGCTAGGACAGGGAACCAATAACACGCAGACATGGATTACCGATGGCGACTTGGTTGTGTACTTGCTGACCCGCGGCGTCTTCGTTGTGAAGGCACTCAGCTGCAATCCCTGGGCGGCGGTCACTAAAAGGAGTGGAAACAAAGGTTTTACTCTTTGTCCAGCTAGCTTGTTCATTTTTCAGTCAGTGTGTCACAAAACCGTCCTCGACAGTATCGATTTTTGGAGCTTTCACCACCTACGAATCCCACATCCCCTGCCCCAAATATATCTAATACTCACTCAAAAGTGCTAGGAGCGTTGAGTAAATCAGCGCTACGTTTAGGCAATTGCCCAATCCTTGGTCCCTAGGTAAGGACTGCCTAAGACCGGACAGTTTCATCTTCTTTAGCAAATCCTTGTGCAATCTGTGGGCAATTCCAATTACTATTTTACGCTGCAGTCTCCGCTCGACGCAACTACGACGTGTTTCCTGTTTCGGGTCCTGCGCACAACTGCGGCCCAAATAGAATCGCATTGTCCTGCCGTCTCCCCAAATCTACCCAATCCCGCATCCACTTCCACACTTTTCGTGCCCGTTCTCCCCTTATCCTGCGACGGGACTTCACTCTCGCTTTTCGCCTGCGCAGTTGGTGGACGCTGGAGGAGATGTGCGTTTATATGCATACATACATTCATATGCGTGCACTTAAAGGAAAATGTTTTAAAATATTTTCAAGACTATTTCATAACATTTAAAGCTGTTAGCTTTCGAAGGTGACAGTCACCAAAATTAAAATATTTGTATTTTTACATAAGAAAGGTAACATCTTTTTTAAATATTCATGTATATTTGTTATATTTGTACGTACTCGAAAAGTGGTTTTCTAGTTTATTTAAAAAAATATGTAACAGGTATAAGAAAGCGTTTCAAACCTTGATATATATTCTTGATCAGAATTACTATCCCAGTCGATATAGCCTTGTCCTTGTGCATATCAGGCAAAAAAACCGTTGGACGAGGTAAAAAAAACCAGTGACGATCGCATCTTCAGCAATAAAACTAAATTTTTTTAAATTTAATTTAAAAATTCCTTTTTTCAGGTGTTTAAAAATCAGAATTTAAGTTTATATTGCTGTCTTACCACTAAACAAGCTGTGTTTTCTAAAAGTAGTAGAACTAACCTTGTATCCAACCGACGAATTTCAATTTGGAAAATTCCCACAATTTCAATTTTTGACACTAGTCCTTAAACTTTTATTTTTCCACTTATTTTCCGATTCTTCCTGAACTATATAACTTTTTTAAGTCATGGTATGAAATGTTTTAGTTTTAATCGGACCACCCCAGCAGATTTTCATATTTTCGGTAATATATAATATATTAGGACGAATAAAAAATTTTCTATTTACATTGCTTGAAAAATGATATCCCTTTTTCTCCGCAACTATTAACATTCCATGAAACTCAAGATTTCCAGCTTGTCGCACTCTAAGGCACTTTATGAAATGACTTGTTTCCTAACAACTAACCTTCAAGCCAAATAATTATTTACTCTTACTTAGTTTAAATTAAAAGGCATATTAGGCATACCACCCAGGGAAACCCCCACATAGAAATGCAACAGATAATTTATAATGCAATTGCCGGAGGCAATGCACTACTGCCTCCCCAAAGCCTTTGGTTTCCTAATTCGATTTGTCATATCTGGGTTGCCATTATGTTCTTTGCTTCCCTGAGCGTCGCTGCTCTTGGCAATGGCCTCGTCTCTGCTCTGCCATGTTTACTATCGCTATTTTTAGGGGCCAATACTCAAAGACAAACCCCAGAGGAGAGGCAAGTCGAATAGAATAAACAAAAGAGGCCACACGGCATTAGCGACAGATTCGATTCGATTAAAACTCTGGTCTATTCGTGCTGAAGGCAAATTCCATACAATTAAGATGGCAGAGTGTGTGAATTTGATTGAATCATTGAACTATATCCAATTGCTCAAGTCAAAAACTTGTTTCTATCCCACAGACGCCATATCAGAGCGGAAGATGGCTTCAGTCAAAAGCGTTGCTTGACATGGTTCCAGGAATACACATCTCCAGACGAACCGGAGACATTGGGTGAGTTAGATGACACTGCATTGTGGGGTTTATTAGGATTTGCCTAATATACAAATGTCGTTTTAAATCGTTCAGAATTTCAAGGTTTTCCGATCTTTAAATGAACACAGGCATCCCAAGTTCTAGACACATAAAGAATTTTCTTATTTATTTTTTGGCCCTTTGAAAGACTTATGTAATAAACCGATTCCCAGGTCCCGATGGCATGGAGAAATTCTGCGAGGATATCGGCGTGGAGCCCGAGAATATTGTGATGCTGGTGCTGGCCTACAAAATGGGTGCCACCCAGATGGGTTTTTTCAGCCAGCAGGAGTGGCTAAAGGGCCTCACAGAACTAGACTGCGATTCGGCAGCAAAAATGGTTGTGAAACTGGACTATCTGCGCAGCATACTCAACGATCCCAACTCCTTCAAAAGCATCTACAGATACGCCTACGACTTTGCCAAGGTCAGTAATCCATTTCAATAAACTATGAACTGCGTTTAATAGGCCTCTGCTTATTCTGCAGGATTCTGACCAACGGTGTATGGATATACTCACTGCCAAAGCCATGCTTCAACTTCTTTTGGGCAAACATTGGCCTCTGTATCCACAGTTTGCCCAATTTCTAGAGCAATCAAAGTACAAGGCGATCAATAAAGATCAGTGGTGTAATATTCTGGAGTTCTCGCGTACCATTAGCATTGATTTATCAAATTACGATATTGATGGAGCTTGTAAGTAACATAGTATTTCGCAAAAGTTCTCAGATTTTAAAAGCCCACAATAACCTCATAGTACTGAACATGTATTAATCTCAACCTGTTTGCAGGGCCCGTAATGCTGGATGAGTTTGTAGAATGGCTGCGCCTGCAGCGGAGCCAGGTCACCTCGACTTCCGGGTCTAGCTGAGAAAAGCCGTATCGAGTCGCCTATTTCTAGTTCAACTTTGGGAGCTCAGTGCAGAGAGGAGTTCGCGACGGAGATGGGATGCGATGGGAATGCTGATGAGATAAGATCGGCGGAAATTTAAGACATAACCACAGAACACTCACTGACACCCACATCCACACTCAGATCCACATCCTCGACCCAAAACACACAAGCACACACTCACCCACACGGAAACACAAGGCATTTTGGAGAGACTGCGTACACTGGCAAAGCAACCAACTATGAAACTAAACTATTGATAATATATTTAATGTAATAATTTATGTAGTAACGACGACAACTAAAAACTAAAACTACAATTTTTTACTTATAAGGCCTCCTTCGAAAACAAAAACAAACCACAAAAAAGAAGAACAGCAACAAGAGCCAAAACGGGGCAACTCGTAATGAGTATTCCCAGAGAATGAAACGATGGCAATAACCAAGAGACCCCGAATAGACCTAATCTAGGACATACAATCCAACCCAAGCGACCCCTTCAAGATATCAGCAAGCATAGTCAAAATCTAAACGAAAATCTACACCAATAGTGGGGTATTCGTAGTCGTTATTAAATCAATGTAGAAAAACAAAACCTGGGGATTATTTAATAAAATTATTAAGTGAAGTTGTGGCACATTTTATTTTGTATTTACTTGGCGAAGGGGTTTTATATTGACAAAATTACTTTGAACTGCTAACTGAATTTATTTCAAAATCAAATCTCACAATCGTGTAATTTCTTTTAAACAAGGAAAGCTCTGAAATATCTGTTTCTAATAATAAATACTTCATAATACAAATCAGAATCCGGACCTACAATCACAATTTGCGATTCTTTAAAACAGAAAACGTTTGCAGTAGTTAGAAAAGGTTTTCTACGATAGGGGCTCTATAATATTAAATTGAGTAAATTCGCCTTATAAAACACTCTTAAAAAATACCCTTTTTCTAATTTCAAAAATATAACGCCTGCTTAGACGCAGAACAATCTAAAAAAAATACTACATTTAAAGGAACAGAATAAACGCCTGTAGAGAAATTCAAAGAACTAACGGTCAAAAAATTTGTTATTCAACACTTCGGCGATACATACCAGAAAGTGTGCGATAACCGGCGAAACGGGCATACTAATTCAGCTGACGCCTGTCGTCCAATTCATTTTGGCATTTAAAAAATCGAACGGTTTCGGCGCGTTCTCCGCTTTGTGCTTGCTTTTCGTGCATTCGATGGGCAAAATCGGAATTTGATCGCCGCTTCTCTTGTCAACTGTGTGGATCTCCGTTTCTGAGACATTTTCAGCCGATCTTCCGTGGAATTACAGGGGCAAAACGAGGAGGATTGTCGCAGAACTCCAGGCGAACGTCAGCGCAAAAGAGGGAGTCCGAAGTAAAGAAGAAAGGAGAGCAAGATGGCCGCGAAGCCTGAGGATAAGAGCACGGATATTCCGGATCGCCTCTTCGACGCTAACCAGAGGAAAACCTACAAGCGCATGCGGTTCTTCGGCAAGGTGAGTGCGGATGCGGATCTGCAGATGTCCCTGGTCAGACGCGCACGGGGAAGAGTCGTAGGGATCACACCTTTACCTCACACACACATACGAACGCACCCACATACACACATCCATTTCCACATCCCGATTTTTGGTTCCGTCTTCCTTGCTGATCATTCTCTTGTTGTATTTGTAGCTGTTTTTGTTGGGCAGGAGAGGAAAAGAGAGCCCGTGTGTAGGAATGCTTGTGTGTGTGTGTGCGGCTCGCAGCCGGTTCAACTTTTCTTTTTTATTTTTGGCGCGGTTTTTTTAGTTTATATGGACAAACTACCTTAGTGACTCCTGCCTTTTAGTAATACCAGCTATTCCTTCTTTGTTCTATTGGCAACCAACTATTTTCCTTGAAAGGATCCAAATATAGTTGTAATACAACCAAGGCTCCACGGCTGGATCAAGGCTACTCAGCATGCGACTCTTAAATATAAACTGTGGTTTTATTTCATGTTGCCAACTGATTCTATGGATAAAACAGTGTCCGAATAATTTAATTTAGTTTATGCAAAATAGGTTTCTAAACAAGACATCAATTCGCTTATTACACATCATTTACTAAAGATGACTTCCTAAGAAAGTAGCATTAAGAGCTCTTTTAATTAAAGCACAAGGTGTGCGTTTTTATTTAATATTACAAATACAATTAAATTACACATGTGTATGTATGCAGGGTGGATTTGCAAAATGTTACGAGATCATCGATGTGGAAACCGACGACGTCTTCGCCGGCAAGATCGTGTCCAAGAAGCTGATGATCAAGCACAATCAGAAGGAGAAAACCGCCCAGGAGATAACTATTCACCGCAGCCTTAACCATCCGAACATTGTCAAGTTTCACAGCTACTTTGAGGATGCTCAGAATATCTACATTGTGTTGGAGCTCTGCAAGAAAAGAGTGAGTTAATTTGAACATCTCTGAAATGGCATGTTTTACCTCTCCGACTTACAGTCCATGATGGAACTGCACAAACGTAGGAAAAGCATTACGGAGTTTGAGTGCCGCTACTACATTTACCAGATCATCCAGGGCGTTAAATACTTGCACGATAACCGCATTATCCATCGAGATCTGAAGCTGGGTAATCTCTTTCTCAACGACTTGTTGCACGTGAAGATCGGGGATTTCGGATTGGCCACGCGCATTGAGTACGAGGGCGAGCGGAAGAAGACTTTGTGCGGCACGCCCAACTATATAGCCCCGGAAATCCTTACCAAGAAGGGCCACTCCTTCGAGGTGGACATCTGGTCGATTGGCTGCGTTATGTACACACTGCTGGTGGGCCAGCCGCCGTTCGAAACCAAGACTCTGAAGGACACCTACTCGAAAATCAAAAAGTGCGAGTACCGCGTGCCCAGCTACTTAAGGAAACCGGCGGCGGATATGGTCATCGCCATGCTGCAACCTAATCCGGAGAGCCGTCCGGCAATTGGTCAGTTGCTGAACTTTGAGTTCCTCAAGGGCTCCAAGGTGCCCATGTTCTTGCCCAGCTCTTGTTTGACAATGGCGCCGCGTATCGGCAGCAACGACACAATCGAGGATTCGATACACCGCAAGCCGCTGATAGAGATGAACGGCATCAGGCCCGACGACACCCGCCTGGAGTCGACCTTCCTCAAGGCCAATCTACACGACGCCATTACCGCCTCTGCACAGGTGTGCCGCCACAGCGAGGACTATCGCAGCGATATCGAGAGCCTGTATCAGCAACTCACCAATCTTATCAACGGCAAGGTAAGTACTTATTGCTCTATAAAGTTTTCATCACTTAAGGCTTCTAAACCTCATCACTTCATTAGCCGCGAATTCTGCAAGGCAATCTGGGCGACGAAAACACCGATCCTGCAGCACAGCCGCTTTTCTGGATATCCAAGTGGGTTGACTACAGCGATAAGTACGGTTTTGGTTACCAGCTCTGCGATGAGGGCATCGGCGTGATGTTCAACGATACCACAAAGCTGATCCTGCTGCCCAATCAGATCAACGTGCACTTCATCGACAAGGATGGCAAGGAGTCGTACATGACTACCACAGATTACTGCAAGTCGCTTGACAAGAAGATGAAGCTGCTTTCGTACTTCAAGCGCTATATGATCGAGCACCTGGTGAAGGCAGGCGCCAACAATGTGAACATTGAGAGCGATCAGATCTCGCGTATGCCTCATTTACACTCGTGGTTCCGTACAACATGTGCCGTAGTTATGCATTTGACCAACGGTTCTGTGCAGGTTTGTGTAATTGTCCAGAATGTATATGAGGTCTTTATGAACTATCCTTCTTTTTAGTTGAACTTCTCGGATCACATGAAGCTCATCCTCTGCCCACGCATGAGTGCCATAACTTATATGGATCAGGAGAAGAACTTCCGCACCTACCGATTTTCGACCATTGTGGAGAACGGCGTCTCTAAAGACTTGTACCAGAAGATCCGATATGCCCAGGAGAAACTTAGGAAAATGCTGGAGAAGATGTTCATATAAGTGTAGCAAGCTAAACTATCATTATAAGGCCGAATGTTAGTTTCACCTAATTCACGAATGCCCTGGCCAATTTCATACATAGCCCCAAAAGTATCCTCTCCCATACATTTTTAGAACTGTAGTTCCTGTTCAAATTGATTTGTTCGATGTTTTTAGAATTTTTTGTTTTCGCCTTTCCCCTTCATATTGAAAATACTATTTAAGTTTTATTCATCGTCAGTGTTGGGCCACCCCTCAAAAATATAAAAATATATCTGTTTAATGGTTTTCGTACACGATCCGACCACTTAATAAATTTTAAAGAGCTCAAATTAAATGTTTAAACTAAACAATCGTGTTTCGAAATGCCCATATTCACCGAGATGACTGATAACACATTTTAATGCTGGATACATTATAAACCTAATAGTGTAATATTGTGTGTTTGTAATGCGCTATAGCGCCATTTAAAATAATACATAAGTTACAATACGACTGCAAAGTGTTTAAATGCTTTACGGAACATGTATTCTCACATTTGGCAAGAAATACCTGTAGCTATAGGATACAATTTGTAATTGCTTTGAACAAGAAGCGTATATATATAATTTAATAAAAACCTGAAGAACAGCTGTAAGCGTTTCTGTAACATTTAGGGCATCTTAAAACTAACAAAACTATTTATGTGTTTTTTATCTAAATTTCATCTCCCAACTATATTTGGAAAATTATGACGCATACAGAAACAATTTTATTCGCTGTTGATAAGGATTTTGAACAAGCAAACCGTTACAGCCCTTGCATTTTACAACACTGGAAATAACTATTTGGAGAATGATGAGAGATGGTAACACTGGCACGAGTGCTGCGGTCACACCAAGTCAGCATATCGATTTTATTTTCTCGAAAAAAGATCCCAATACGTACACACTCGCTGAAAAGCCGAATAGGTCTTAAACTTAGATGCAATTAGTGCCGAGGCGGACATAAATCCTCGACATGGGTGACAACGAACAGAAGGCGCTCCAGCTGATGGCGGAGGCGGAGAAGAAGTTGACCCAGCAGAAGGGCTTCCTGGGATCGCTGTTCGGGTTCGTACCAAAGAAATTTCGCAATTGCTGGGGGAGTGGGGAGATGGAGCTGTGTCTGTTTTAGCCTAAGACTTCCCCATCCCAAGTTTCTCCAGATACAATGCTTATAGTACGCAATTCTGTGGTACCATTCCATTTATCTATGTACATATGTATATATGTGCCTACTCACCATAATACGTATACGCAGTTGTGGACTCTACGCCTCCACCCAGAAACCAAATAT